AGATGGCTGTTTGTTTTAACATGAGTCTTTAAGCCTCCAGATGCTTTTCTTTCGTTTTTTGTAGCTTTGGGTTTTTTTTAATCATTTTATTGGGGTCTCATACAACTCTTATCACAATCCATACATCCATCCATTGTGTCAAGCACATTTGTACATTTGTTTCCATCATCACTCTCAAAACATTTGCTTTCTGCTTGAGCCCTTGGTATCAACTCCTCATTTTTCCCTCCCTCCCCGCTCCTCCCTCCCTCCCTCTTGAACCCTTGATAATTTATAAATTATTATTATTTTGTCATGTCTTATACTGTCTGACATCTCCCTCCATCTACTTTTCTGTTTTCCATCCCCCAGGGAGGGGGTTATATGTAGATGCTTGTAATCTGTTCCCCCTTTCTACCCCACCGTCCCTCCACCCTCCCAGTATCACCACTCCCAACACTGGTCCTGAAGGGGTCATCTGTACTGGATTCCCTGTGTATCCAGTTCCTATCTGTACCAGTGAACATCCTCTGGTCTAGCAAGATGTGTAATGTAGAATTGGGATCATAATAGTGGAGGGGAAGAGCCTTTAAGAACTAAGGGAAAGATGTATCTTTCATCATTGCTACACTGCACTCTGACTGGCTCCTCTCCTCCCCGCGACCCTTCTGTAAGGGGATGTCCAGTTGTCTGCAGATGGCCTTTGGCTCCCCACTCTGCACTTTCCCTCATTCTCAATGATATGATTTTTTGTTCTTTGATGCCTGATACCTGATCCCTTTACTCCTCATGATCGCACAGGCTGGTGTGATTCCATACAGGCTTTGTTGCTTCTAAGCTAGATGGCCACTTGTTTACCATCAATCCTTTAAGACCCCAGATGCTACATCCTTTGATAGCCGGGCACCATCAGCTTTCTTCACATTTGCTTATGCACCTGCTTTGTCTTCAGTGATCGTGTCAGGAAGGTGAGCATCATAGAATGCCAGCATAGTTGGGCCCCATCATGCTGGGGGGAAGCACTGAGGACATGCAACAGAGCAGCAGGGGAAGCATACTGATGAAACTCCTGGGGAATACCAAAAATAGACTTTGGAGACAGAGTGTGGCACCCCATCAGACTCAACTGGAAAACACTCATAAAGGCCAACAAACAGACCTTGAACTATGTAGAGGCTTCTCCATTTTTGTCAGTGACTTTCTTTTTGCTATTGTTATTTTGCATTTGTTTTTTGAGGCTGTTGCTATTGTTTTGCTGGTTTTGACTTCCTTTGTTGTTTTATTTGGCTTTGCCTGGGTTTTGCACTTAATAATGTATCTGCATGTCTATCTAGATAAGACAGGCAGGATAAATAATTCAGCGATGAAAAGAATAGGACTAATAGTCCCGGGGGGATACAGAAGAAGGGGAGGTGAGAGAAAGGAAATGGGGTGGAGGGAACCAACTCAGGGACAAGGGAACAACAAGTGATCCAAAATCAGTGGTGAAGAGGGTGTAAGAGGCCTGGTAGGACTTAATCAAGGGCAATGTAACTGAGAGGAATTACTGGATCCAAAATGAAGGCTAAGCATGATAGTGGGACATGAGAAAAGTAAAAGGAAATAGAGGAAAGAACTATCAGGCAAAGGGCATTTATAGAGGTCTAATTATAGGCATGTACATATGTAAATATATTTTTATATGAAGATGGGGATATATATCTATGTGCATATATTTATAGGTTTAGTATTAAGGTCACAGATGGACATTGAACCTCCACTCAAGTACTCCCTCAATGCAAGAACACTTTGTTCAATTAAACTGGCATTCCTTGATGCTCACCTTCCTGACAGGATTGCTGAAGACAAAGTGGGTGCATAAGCAAATGTGGTGAAGAAAGCTGATGGTGCCCAACTATCAAAAACTATTCTTCCTTATAGCCAGATTCTATCTGGTTTCTTCACCACACTTTGTTAAAGCACCTAGATTTTTAATGATCACTTCATGAGGGCAAGTATCAAGCAGACAAACTGCTCTGAGATTGAGCCTTACAATTAAGTGCGATCTCAAAACTCATCCATAGACCTAAGGTTTATACATATCCCTGGTCCACTTTAGTTGCCTCATTACCAGCTTTTAAGACGTAATGTAAGTATCCTCCATAGGATACTTGATAAATCTAATAATAGCATCATTAATCTATACAATGGTATAATTTAAAATATTGTTGAGATAAATATCTATCTATATATACACAAACACATACACACACAATATGGAAGCTTTTGAAACTAAAACACATGGAATGTTGAATTATAGAAATGACAAAACTTAAGTCACCGGATATGTTTGAGGAAACCATGAGGGTTTAGAAACAAGGCACAAATCTCAGTAACAGACTTTAAGACAAAACCATGTCTGCAGACTAAGACCTGTCACAAAAAGCAAGGCCAATGGAAAGTGCCAAATATAGGATAGTCTTACATCGTTAATTCTTGTAGAACTTCAAAGTAAGAAATTTGAACCGAAGTCCAATGACTTCTGAATCCACAATTTTGGGATAGCAGTCATCTTCACCTTCCCACCCTCGGGCGTTTCACCTTTAAGTCCAAAGTTTAAGTACTTTTCTAATAAAATTATTCCATCTAATCCTTCCAGTCTTCTGCCTGGAAAAAAATTCAGTGTTCCCATCATAATAGAACGAACTCCGTATTTTACTCTGCATGGTACTCCATGATCTGTTCTTAACTGGCCTTGCAATGTCTCTTAGCCATTCAACCCCTCATAATGTTTTGTTCCAGCCTAATCAGGCATTTTTCCTACTGCTCACACGCTATCTATACTTTCATATTTGTTCTTTGTCTAAATCTTCCCCTTCTCCATGGTATGAATTAAATAAGCATTTCTTCTTTCCCCCAAACTATGTTTATTAAGATGAAATATCAAGTATAATTTTAATTGGGTAGGAATTTCATTACTTTTTTTTAAGTAAAAAGTTGTCTAGAGATAGAGGGCCCAATGCTGAGAACCAACAGAACTGGGTTCCCTGAGAATCAACAAAACCTCACTCCTTTTAGATTTTTTCCTTCCACTGGTTGAAAAATAATTTCTCCACTCCCAATACCACATCCAAATTCCAGGTGGAGAAACATATAACCAAATACCTGAAAACTGTTTTTATTTTTAACCAGTTATTTTGTGTGACATAAAATTTGTAAATTCTATGGCAAAACAGGGAGGGTAAAGGGAGAATGGGTAGGAAAGAGGGAACCGATTACATGGAACTGTGTGTGACCTCCTCCCTGGGGGACAGACAACCGAAAAGTGGGTGAAGGGAGACGTCGGACAGGGCAAGATATGACAAAATACCCATTTATAAACTATCAAGGGCTCATGAGGGAGGGGGGAGCTGGGAGGGAGGGGGAAAATGAGGACCTAATGTCAGGGGTTTGAGTAGAGAGAAAATGTTTTGAGAAACGATGTACAAATGCGCTTTACACAATTGATGTGTGTATGGATTGGGATGACAGTTGTATGAGCCCCTAATAAAATGTTAAAAAAAAATTTTTAATTCTATAAATGCAAGAAGGATTTTTATCTTGTCATTTAGTCCCACAAAGTCTACTGAAGTGCTGGCTCATAGGAAACATTTGGAAATAGTCCAAGTGCATTCATGTGTGAGTATGTGCATATGTGTCTGTGTTTGTGTGTGCATGCAGGTACACAAGCTTTGGCCTCCACTATAATTTAAAGCAATGAAGTTTTGTTCCCATTGTCACGTGTCACCTCTTAAGGTGTTGAGGAGTTCCGCTTCCATGTAAGTTTAGAGTCGTGCAAATGAACATTTGAAGAAAGTGAAATTTAGAACATTGACATGATATTCTAACATCCAATATAGTGATTAATGGGATCAAGATAAGTCTAAGGCACCAACCATCCTGTCTATTTTTCATTTGATTTTCTTTCCTACAAATAACACATTTCCCTAAGGTTGTGGATTTTTTTCATAAAAAGACGTTATGTCAATCCCAAATAGAAATCCTCTGTAATGAATTACAATAAACTAACCAAAATATCAAGCAACACTATGCTGATTGAAAAAGAACAGTACCCTCTTGAAGTTATGTGTTTTTCCATTTTGGGATCTATGAAGCCCAGGATTGATGAACCTATGGAGACCCAAATAGAATGAGGGTTTCGGGGGGTGGGGGGGCCTCATTAATGGAGGGGAGGTCAAGGGGAGATGAAGTCAAGGTGTCAATGTAGAAAAAGAATGTTTGGAAACTGATTGTGGTAGCAATTGCACAATTCTGCTTGACGTGATTGAACTATGGAATGATATGGGTATATGTATATAAAATAAAGGAAGAAATTATATATATATATAAAATGAAGGAAGAAAGAAGAAAATCTCAGAAAACCAACCAACCAAGGAATCTGTGCAGTTCTAGAAACTTCTATAGCTCTTTAAGAAAATATGTTGCATAAGGAAGAAAATATATGATTGAACAGGAAAAATACAATGTATTAAATTAGAGTACTCCTTAAAATAAATAAATTTTGCTAGTAGTTGTTTTGTTAGAACAACTTTTACTAATTTAGGATCATAGAAACCTTTTAGTTTTATTTTTCCCCAAAGCGATGTGGATTTGGTTATCTATTAACAAGTATGATTGTTATTCTTTTAATTTACACGCTTTTCTCCCTTAAATATCCCAGGCTTCTTATGCAAACATAATTATAAACCTGCATATGTCATTGGTGGAAACTCATTATCTAAAGCTCTGTGAGAAAGCCGTGATTGTTTCCATCTGATTCCTGACTCAGCACATTAATCTTATTTACTTTGAGTCCCTGGGCTTCTGTTTACAGTATATGAAGTACTCTCAGTAGAGCAAAGGTCCCGCTGACGAAAGTCAACCGATGGATGCTGGCATGTGATTAGTAGAGGCTAGATTCCACTTGAACCATTCTTACTCTTAGAGGCCAAGTTCAGATCTGATGTGGGGAGTTTCTTTTTAACCCTAATTTGTCATAACAGGTAACTGGCCGAATTGACATTCAAAGACCAGAAACATGCGTTGTGCCATCCAAAGGGCAGTGGTACTGGATGGGGCCCATTTGATGCAGATCATCTGGCATGATGGAGCAGAGTCTCTCTACCCAGCAATATGGCTGAGAGACAACTGCCAGTGCTCCACTTGCTACCTGGATTCGGCAAAAGCACGGAAGCTTCTCATCGAAAGTCTGGATGTGAACATTGGAATTAGAGAGATGACTTTCGACAGACAAAAGGTAATTATCTCTAAAAGTAGCTTCTTTTCCTCCTCTTACCCAAATAAAATAAAGGGCTAGTCTCTAAAATTAGAACTGACTAATTTGTTTTTACTAGATCATATATATGTATATATGTGTGTGTATATATATATATATAGACATATGTATACACATACATAGTATATGTGTAGTACATGGCATAAACTAAGCAAATTCAATATGTGGAAGCCTCTGTTATTACCTCTTTTTATTATCAATATTTCTACTTTTACATAAAATGTGCAGGTTTACGCATTGTGTTTTCAGTAGATAGTATGTTTAAGAACACAATTTAAATCATTTATACAATAAAAGTAAAGTATTTAGCTTGTTTCCTCACCCATAAATAAGGATGCTAGCCAAACTTGCTCAGAGGATTCAATAAGATAAACCGGGCAAAAAGTTTAACATTGTGCTTGGCATACAGTGAGCACTCAAAATACAGTCTTGATTAATATTTTTCATCAAATTAGTGGGTAGATATGCAAGGTTGTTTGGAGAGTTTCTTAAAAATGCAAGCCAAATGCCCCAAAGCAAAAACCCACTACCACTGAGTCAATCTCCATCACAGTAGCCTTGCAGGATAGAATAGAGCTGCTGTCACACAGTTTCTAATTGTTTGCTGCTTTGGAAGCAGAATGCCACATTTGTCCCCATAGTCGCTACAGCAATTAGGTTGTCCTAGAGCAGTGGTTCCCAACCTTCCTAATACCGCGACCCTTTAATACAGTTCCTCATGTTGTGGTGACCCCTCCCCCAGGCCATAAAATGATGTTCACTGGTACTTCATCACTGTAATTTTGCTACTGTTATGAATCAGGCGACATATGTATTTCAAAGCCTTCTATTTAGAGCCACATATTGCTGAACTTCAGGTCCGGTCAGTATCTACTTTTTGCTTAGGACCTAGGGGGTCTCACCTCAAATGGATCCCCTTGCCTTGCAGTTTCCTTGTTTTCTATGACTGTGAATACCTCATTTAAAAGCGCTCCTCATACTCCAGATACACTTAAATAGCATTTATAAACACATATCCGTGGAGAATTGAAGTATTCAGAAGCATAATGTACATACTGTTGATGTTGATTTTCTGTATTGTAAGGTGTACATCACGTGGCCCAACGAGCACTGTAGCGAATTTGAAGCTGACTGGCTGAAGAAAAGATGCTTTTCCCAGCAGGCCAGAGCCAAACTCCAAAGAGAATTGTTTTTGCCAGGTAAATCTGTCCCTGTTTTTAAGGGTTTTTTAAGTGCTCTAGTAAGGAGTTACTTGGAAGCCAATTCAAACCCTGGGCCTTTGGTTAGAACGCTGTCATTTAGGTGAGATGTTTAACTACAGCATTGCCGATGTGGATTGTTGCAGTCGGGAAGGAAAGGCGTCTAGAGAATGCCTGTAGCATCGATGGAAAAAGGAAAAGAGGGTAGCAGACTTACTCTGTGTCCCCTTGCACTGCCTCAAGCACACTGCAGACCCTCTCCAAGTGTCCGCTGCAAAGAAGGTCCAAGCTAAACACAGGCAGATTTGTCCTTCTGAAGTGTTGTCTAAGGACAGAACAATACAAAATTAATAAAACAGGACTGCGTTTCATGGCACACGTAGACAGAACTATTTTACACAACAATGCTTATGCATGTGAGCGCGTGTGCGGGAGCTGTGTATGCACACACAGGGGCACAGGTACATTGGGGTGTGCCTGTAGGGGTCTCAAGAAGCACTGTACCACAAAATGTTCAGAAACGTTGAAATAGGAGGATCCCATGAGAAAAGAAGATTTTACTATTGAGATGAGCAACAAAATTAATTGTTAAAATATAACACTTAGGAAGTACACAATCATAAAGCTCAATGATAACCCATTCCACTAAAGTCCTGGTGATGGGTGGGTGTGTTGGTTCATTCTCTGAGTTTTTTTGGAGACTTATTACATGAGTTGTGTGAATCAAAAACAACCTTTGAAGGATGTGATGATTTAATAGAACCTTGACCTTTACTGATGCACAGGCAAAGCAAGTTCTACTCTGAATAAGATATTTCAACACTGTCCCTTTGATCAACTGACTTCAGACTTTTTAAGTTTTGTAACACTCCAACTATTGCAAAATAATGAATTATCCGCCAAAAGAGAAATTTTTACTTAGAGTGCTTTTCTGTCCTTTTCAACTCTAAAATTCTCAAACCCATGCGTGGTAACTCCTCAGAGTTTTCAAAATCTCCATGGTTTTACAGCAATTTACTGGCTATGGAAATGGAAATAAATCAATTTGAACCACGCTGGTCTCTCTTGCTTTGGTTATCAATAGGGTATGACATTATCTCATTCCTCTTCAAGCATAGACGCATCTTACCAAGACCCAATTTCCTCTGTCATCAGTTTCTCCTTTCTGAGAGACAAAAAAGTCTTAATGCAATATTTGCTACTAAATCTCCAGAAATCTATTTGTCCCTTTATCTAGACTACTAGTTGGTTGAATCTCGATGGGTGTCTGGGGAAAGATTATTTTCCTACCTCTCTCCAATGAGTACATTTCTTCATTCTTCAAGGAGGCTCCAGCAGCCTCACCGAGTAGCAATTATCTTTGCCAAATACCAATATCATGAATGCATTCGTATTTTTTATTCATTTAGATTTTGTCTGATACGTAAAATAGTTTTCTTAATTCTACCCTAATTTCATAATCCTGTTGTATTTTATACTTAATATCCTCCAAGTTCTTCTTTTGATTGTCTCAGACACTAAAAGCCAAGTTTTAATATTATTATAGCTTAAGGTTTTAAGCATTGTAAAATGACATACCCATGCTCCTCCATTAATATTTTTTTGATAAGTTCAGTTCTATAGCTCACATTTCTCAGTATCATCAGGCAGTAGCACAGTGGAAATGATACGATCCTCACTTAAGTAGTAGGGGAAAATGGTCAGACTGACAGGCTGCAAACATGGTTAATATGCAGAGTACTGATATTTGGATGCTGAAAATATATTTTAATAGCTAAAAACGATTTCAGATTTTCAAAATGCCAGCTGTGCATTTGGTGGACTAAAAAAGAATTTAATGGGCCATGATTGAAATGTCTTTTTGCCTGTAGAATGTAACAGCTGATTACACTGCCTTGCCTTATTTTCAAACATTTATGCTCCTATGCTCTAGTACGTATGTGTTAGGCCAGGGTGACTAGAGAAATCCAGAGAAATTCATATACATGTAAGAGAGAACTTTATATCAAGAAGTAATTATGTATCAATAAAGCACAGCCCAGTCCAGATCAAGTCCATAAGTTAGATATCAGCCCAGAAGTCCAATATTAGCCCATAAATTCCTCTTCAGACTCACGCAGCACATGCAATGATGCCGAATTCAGAAAGATCACAAGCTGGTCAGTGGAAAGTCCTGTGGATCCAATGGCAGTGGACACATCTCCAGGGTTCTGGCTGCCATCAGTGTGGCTCTTTGTGGCTTGTCAACAGGAAGGTGTAGCAGAGAGAAGGGGCCCTGCCTCTTCTGATGGCAGAATCAAGAAAGAGGAAGTTCCCAGAAACCTCAGGAAAAGGCCATGCCCACACGGAGGAATCATCAGGCTGTGACCTGATTGACAGGTTAGACTCCAAACCTTCATTTTTTTATCAAGTTAACATGAAATTGTGTAACTACCACAGCATACAATGAAATTCAATTAAATTTGTGAAAAAAAAATTTTTTGGTTTTAGCCCTCAGTGGAAATGTTTCCTCTTGTTTTTTCCTCAAATTTTTAAAGAGACCTTTAAAAATCTAGTATCAAGCTTCTCACTGAATTCCCTGATAGTAGCTGTTGAACTCAAATGTGACTTGGCATGATAGTCATAGCTAGAAGAAATACATGAATAACAATCAATATTTTGGGGGTTTGTTTTTGTTTGTTTCTTTAAGAAAGAGATTTATATCAAGAAGTAATTGTATATCAGGAAAACATCCGAGCCCAGTCCAACTCAAGTCCATAAGTCTGATACTAGTCCATAAGTCTGATACTAAACCCCTCTTCAGACTCACACAGCCACAAGCAATAATGAAAAATGCAGGGAAATCACAGGCCAGTGTGTGCAAAGTCTTGTGGTTCCAATGGTGCCGGATGCATCTCCAGGGCTCCCACAGGTCTCAGCATGGCTCATCAACAGGAAAGTGAAGGCAGAGATGGAGTGGGAGGTTCCAAGAACCCTCCTTATGAGAAGGCCACACCCACAGGGAGGCACCATCAGGCTGTGACCTGTTTGACAGCCTAGACTACACTTTATTTAGCAAGTTGACATGAAATTATATAACTACCACAATGTCCAAAGTATGGAAGATGAAGTCTCGCCATCCTTGCCTCTAGGGAGTACTCTGGCCTTTACTTCTCCTGACACAGATTTTTGTGTCCTTTTAGTGTGGTACTTTCAATATTCTTCTCCAGCACTACAATTCAAATGCATCAATTCTTCTTCAGTCTTCCTTATCCTTTTTAAAAAAATAATTTTATTAGGGGCTCTTACAGGTCTTATAACTATCCATACCTCAATTGTATCAAGCACATTTGTACATATGTTGCCAGCATCATTTTCAAAGCATTTTCTTTCTACTTGAGCCCTTGATGTAAAGCTCCTCTTTTTTCCCTCCCTCTCCCACCCTCAGGACCCCTTGATAAATTATAAATTATTTTCATATCTTACTCCATATGTTGTCTTCCTTCAACCCATTTCTTTTGTTCATCCCCCTGGGGGTGGGGAGGTGGGTTATACTTTGATCACTGTGATCAGTTCTCCCTTTCTCCCCCTTGCCCCACACCTTCCCCCTACCCTCATGGTATCACTACTCCCATTACTATACCTTAGGGATTTATCTGTCATGGATTCCATGTGTTGAGGGCTCTTACCTATACCCATGATCTATACCAATGTACATGATCTTGTCTAGATGGATTTGCAAGGCAGAGCTGGGTCATGACAGTCAGTGGGGGGAGGGAGGGAAGCTTTAAATAACTAGAGGACTGTTGTGTGTTGCGCCGGTGCTATACTGCACCCTGGCTGACTCGTTCCTTCCAATTTTTCACAAATCTCTATTTGTTCATGTACTGAGCACCATTGTGGGGGAGGAGGCGGGAGGCTGGGGGACAGGTGGAAAATCACAATAGAGTAAAAATATCAGGCTGAGGTTAATTCCCTGAAAATAATTTGATCTTGTTAATGTCAGACGTACCAGGAGGACAGTTGAATCGGTAACAATGTAGGACAGAGAAGAAGAAAGGCTATCAGTGCCCCACTAGGAAAATCCATCCTGCACATAAGGAAGCCTTTTTTTCAATGTGAGCTCTGGAATATTCCCTGTCATGAGTTTTCCCAGGATGAGATTCTTACTAGAAGCTAAAGAAGACAGCTTAAGATCTTTATATGTTTAATAAAATGTTTATTATTTTTTCTTTAATTTGCATTTTACCTTTATAGAATTGCATCGTTGGGATTAGAATTAGATAAATATAATTTCTTAAATGCCTACAAGTTTGACTTTTTGCTTGTTTGATTCTCATCTCCAAAGCAAGATGAAATCCTTGAAAGTTTACCCTTTTCCTCTGTCTACCATGATACCTATTGGTCCAGTTGTGGGGACTTGGCTTTCTTTACACTGAGGCGCGATCTATCCTGAAGGCGTCGGCTGTGATCATCATCAGGAACTCCCTGTCCCCCTGCTTTCTGGAAGCGAGGTTCTTTTATCTGCTTATCATAGGGTGCTAATGAGCTTCCATCTAATCCTGACGCCATGTTCCTCATAGAACCCTGCTTCTCAAAGTATTTGCCCAGCATACAGATTGAATAGATATGATGAAATGGTGCAACCTTGATACACACCTTTCCCGAATTTAAACCACCAAAATATTCTCTTGGTTTGTTTGTAAGACGGCTTCTTGGCCTTTGTACAGGTTCCACATTAGCTTAATGAAGTGCTATAGAATTCCTATTCTTCTTAATGTTATTCATAATTTATTATGATCCACACAGTTGTTAATAAAGCACAATGGTTAATCAAGTGTAAGTAAAGATTTTCCTGCTAATTTTTGCTTTCAGTCAAGATCCATCTGACATTATTACCACACCCTCCTCTGAATCCAGGTTGAATTTCTGACAGTTTCCCAGTTTCCTGTCCATGTGCTTACAACCTTGTTGAATTATCTTCAACAAAATATTACTTGCATATGATATTAATTGTATTG